CCCCTGTTGTAACGCGTCCACCTGCGTCTCATCATGGCCTGTTTCACCTCCGTAAGCGTTGGCTACATCGGGCTTGGATAGAGTTTATTTCAGAAACTAAAATTCCTCCAGATGGGTTCATTTAGAACATTTCCTCCGACAGAATCATTTCTCGACCAAATAACGACGTTCACAACTGAGTTGGATAGGCTGATGGTGTAATTTGTCGTTACTTCACTCTTCACGACCATACCGCAGGCCCTTGCTTTAGCAACAGTCAGTGACCTTTTAAGCCAGCAGCATGAAGCATTGCCTCAAGACATTATTCACCTTCAAAGGGATTACATGGAAGAAAAGCAAGGGCGTCCCATCTCTGTGTTGTACTGCAAAAACACGAGAGGCGGCTATTCGAAGGATACAAGCCCATAGTTTGGGCACGCTACGTTGACAGCATTTTTGTTGTCATCGACCAAAATAGAGTTAACCGCTGCAAAGAGCAAGTAAACTCAATTTTGCTCGATCTACAGTCCACGATAAAAAAAGAAGTGGAGGGCAGACATACCTTCTTGGATGTTCTCGGCTGCTGCAGAACCGGAAGGCAAAATGGTGACGTCAGTCTACCGCGGGAGCCGGCGGAGGAGTCGCAAATGTTGAGTTGAATCAGTAACCAACCGTCGCAGGGAAGTTGTAAATGCATCTTAGTACGACGAAGGAAAACTTACGTCAGCTACCAAAAGGGAACTTTGAGAACATTTTGGAGATAAGGGCTATTCACAAGCGTTCATTGAACGGAATCGAATGCCACCAAAAACGCGTACCGAGGAGCGTCCGCCAAAGTCATGGCGGAGCATTCGGTGCACAAAATGGTCCCTTAAACCGTGACTAGATCTCTCGCGCCTCTCGGGACTGGAGTTGCCCACAGGCCTACCTCCACAATCCGACAGCAAGTGATGCGGCCGAAAGACCCTTACCCTAAGCAGAATAGGTCTGTCGTTGTCTACCGACTTCAGTAAAGTTACCAGATGTGGAATTATGTTTTGGAGCTAGCAGACAACTACAAATACGAATACACGAACATCAGTTGGCTGTTGGAATGCTGAACCCCAAATTGGAGGTGGGAACCCATGTTGCAGACACGGAGCACACCTTCAACACTGAGGCCGTTGGAACTGTAGGCCAGGTCGCCGATTAAAGCAGTTTAACGAAGCATAGATGTGGACTAACTGTTCAGTAAACCGACACCTCAATTTGGTTGTCTTATCTGGTTTTGCGAA